GATCACTGCCCGAACGGGTAATTTGTTGGTTGAAGTGTAGCTGAATCGTGCATCAAAAGACATGTCCAGGAGTTGCCGCCTTCGATGTTGGAGCGACATAACCTGTCGCGTCGGGAAATGGGTCGGGACCTTATGAGATGATGTGATACAGCTGCTTGAGCACTTCGGATTGTTTCTTGGGTGACTTTCTGGCAGCCTGCCATCAGATTTCGGAGCCCCATGTAACACTCGAATCTAATCATGTCGTCGGCACAGCCTCAGACACTTCCTTGACACTTCTGCTCTCGAGGTGTGGATCTCCTCAGCATTGATGGAAGCAAAGCAATTCTTTGCCGATGTGGGGGCGAGAATTCCACTGTAAGCCACTGCGAGATCAAGCGCTTCCTGCGCACGGCCAGATGGGTTTGTCAGGCGCGGTTTGCAAAAGGTGCTTCAAGTTCATTCTTTATAGTCTGATCTGTGCGTCAATTTGGCAAAGGCCGATGAGCTCGTGCTGGTCACGAGATGGGCCACCAAGCTTAGCAGTGACTCCAAGAAGTGGCTCAGACAATACAATGCCAAGCACGTGGTCATCAGCAAAAGCGAGATCCAACGGCAGTCGGCTGCAGGGAGCCCAACACCAAGTAGCCAGGCCGATGCTGCTGCATCCGGATCTCCGCCATTGCGCCCTTGCCAGCAGGCCTGAGTTGACAACATCAACAAAGCTACAGTTCACCCTGAGATTTAGACATGCCCTCTATAAAGTAGCAGCTGAACTAATTAGCAACTTCATTCCATTCCAGTCCTGTTTGGAGCTTCCGCTGTCTTCCTCGCATGGTACTGCAGCTGGCATAGACTACACGGCAGTACTGTTCGAGTCAGGCCTGCCTGGAAGCATGTGCGAAGGGGGCTCGCGTGATCCAGATGGCTTGTGGCACTGGCAAGACACGGGTGATCCGGGAGTTGGCCCAGAACATTTCCGGGAAGGCCGCAAGGGCAAACAGTTGCTCCTAATTTATTGCCTCGTTTGCTGTTGCTGATGCCACTCGGGGCTTGCAGGCTTGCTTATATCTATATC